GCTTTTAGGGAAGGCTTTTACATTTGTCTGTGGATATCCAGGGCTCATGTATGAGATTACTAACAAGCATTACTGAATAATCAGATGAGGGACATTTTGCTATGTCTACTAGGTGGCTAAAGTCTGATTCTCAGAGCCTATGGTTTGGACGGTCAGCAACACTTGAGCCCCTCGTGATCATCTTTTAAAAATAAAAATTGTAGGCCAGATAGTGCTTTCAGGTCGACTGTTCTTTTGGAGACACATGGACAAAAGAAAATGGGGAAGTGGTGAAACTACAGCTTATTTCACACCTTCTCCAGTCCTAGGCAGAAAATTACTTTGGATTTCCAATAGACTAGTTTTCCAAAAGTGAGGTTGGGCTTCAGTCTTGTCCACTTAAATACAACCCCAGGAAAGCTAACGTAGTGATACAGTTAATCTACAAACTTTAGTGTAAAATAGGCACAAAACGTTAGCTTCTATCTTACTCAACAGCAGGAAAAATCTATGTATGTGTAAATGGGCATTACTTTTTTCAAAACAGGATTCTGTCCATTTCCTGGATTAATTTTACCACTGTAGTTGTGTTAAAGGTTTGCTTGTGTTGGGTAGAGTTGCAATTGTTAAGGGGGGAAGGAAATTCTTGCACTGGTTCGGTGGCCAGGTAAACTTATCAAAGGGCTCTTTCGGGCCCTGAAGTTGGGACTGGGTCATTACCATCCCCCGGAACTGGGCGTAGATCATGTCCTCTGCCCGCTGAAGAAAAAAGTTCTTTGCCAACTGGGACGCTGGGACTTGTCATTAGATTTTCAAAAGATTAGAATGTGGATGACTTCGTCATGTCCCTGAGCTTCTTTCAGATCGCAGAGTCCACAGTAGACAGGGCAGCTGATGTCTTTTGTTTCACGCAGGCATTAGAGACCCAGACATCATGCCAGCTCTTAGACAGGATCTGCCTCGATCCCAGCAAGGCTGCGAGGCCCCGCTTGCCCTCTAGCTCCCTGCAGCGTCTCTTGGGCTCCGAGTGTGGCGGCGGAGGCTTAGCATTTCTATCTTGGAGAACTCAGATTTGAGATCCTTTTGCTGGGCCTCCATCAGTTCCTCGGGTTCAAGTATCAGGTGGGATTCACATGTGCCCACAGAGGGTGTCTGGCACAGAGTGGGAAGGGACATCTGCAGTAAGGGAATTCAGGTCCAGGTCTTGGCAGAGAACCAAACTCTTGCCGACTAAGGGCTGGCATAGTCGAAGTAGAGGCCTGCGAGGGCAGACTCTTGGCCGGTGGAGTCGGATTCTAAGTGGGAAGGATTCATTTCTCGGGAGGTGAACTGTTCCACACGTCCGGGGTGTCCCGGCAGCTGGGTGGGCGCCTCCGCCAGCGAGGTCTACTTCCGGTGGTGGCCGGGTTGGTGAGGTTAGTGAGGTGGAACTGCTGGACGAAACTGATCAGCCGGCTTCCTGCACGCGCAGTCGAGGCATTTGAGCATCGCAAAATCCTGCTGGGCTCTGTGGTGCAGGGATTGTGACCTGCAGGAGACAATTGACCCTCCTGACCCAGCGGGTGACAAGGCTTAGCCCTCAAATCAAGTCTCTGCCCTCTCAATCACTGTTGTTGTTCCGACCCATAGCGACCTCGTCTATACAGGTTTCTGATGAGCTTGAAGTGCCAACCTTGTGGTTCACACCGACCCTGCAGTCCAGCACATTAACCCATAGTGGTGGTGGTGGTGTGTCGTGGAGTCCGTTCCGCCTCATAGTGAACCTGTATAGTGTTTCTGAGGCTGTAAATCTTTAAAGGAGCAGACAACCTTATGGTTCTCCTGTGGAACTGCTGGTAGTTTTGAACTGCCGACCATGGGATTGGTGGATCAAGCCAAAAGACCAACTAGTAACCACTATGCTACTAGAGTTCTTTGCATTAGCCCACAACGCCACACCAGGACTAGGTCGGTGTTTTCGAAGAAAGAAGTGAGACTATGCTTGCCAGAGCTGTTGAGTTGGTTCCAACTCATAGTGACCTGGTATAGGGTTTCAGAGAAGTGACTGGTGGGTTTGAACCACGGACCTTGCTGTCCAGCGCATTAACCCACAGCGCTACACCAGGACTAGGTCTGGACCATTCAGGGAAGTGAGACTGTTGTTAAGTACTGTCAAATTGATTCCAACTCATAGCGACCTTGTATAGGGTTTCCAAGGAGGAGCTGGTGGGCTTGAACCACCAACTTTGTGATGAGCAGTTTAGTGCTTATTCTACAGCACCAACCCAGGACTCTGAAGATGACTGAGATTCAAGGAGGTCAATGATAAAGGACTTGTACTAGTTTTAGCCAAGGAACTCTGGTAGTGTAGTGGTTACTAGTTGGGCTGCTAATCTCAAGGTCAGCAGTTCAAAACTACCAGCAGTTTTGTCGAGAAGGATGAGGCTTTCTGTTCCTGTAAAGATTTACAGCCTTGGAAACCCTACACAGGGTCACTATGAGTTAGAACTGGCTGCACAGCACAAAACCACCAGCCACCACTAGTTTCAACCACTTTAGCCATTTGACTACTTTAGCTGCAACTGATCAATATGGAGTGTCCCCATGACATCAGTCTTTAAAAGAATCCACATTGGTCGTTCTGATTACTTCTAAAGAAATGATTGTTTACCTTGCAACCAGGTATTTGCTTTGCTAGAGTTCACCAGTGTGTTCTCTAGGGCTTTATTTCTATTATTACAAGAACTACTACTATGAACATTTTGCTCATTTTAGCGGAATAACCAGGAAAAAGACAGTTTAAATATTTAATTGGGTCTGAAAATAAGGCATAGAGTTGAAAACTTAATATAGTCGCAATGTTTCAAGAGTAGGAGGAGAAAATTGGTAGTTGGGCTTTTCTTGCAGGAAGCCAGAATATTATATTTGATTTCAGTTTGCAAGTTATCTTCACTGTTACCTCACAGCCAACCCAGCGCCATCAATAATGCATACAGTGAGTCACCCTGTTCTCCAGTACGAGCAGGAATCCAGGCTGCAGCTACAGCTCCAAGGGTCATTAGCGTCTCTCCTCAGTGGTTAAGTTGATCTTCATTTAGGACCAGGCTGACATTACCTTTCAGCAGCCCTTCTACTTAAACTAATTGCTTCTTAAAATCATAAGGTAGCTGTATCGTTGGGCAGGATTTTCCTCTCTGAAGCTCAAATATACTATCAGGATATTAAATATTAGAGCTTATTACTAATGGTGGTTTGCTCTCATTGGGGGTGTATATATATTTATGGCAGAGTCCTAGGGGATTCTAAATAAAAATCCAGAGTCTGATTGTATCTGAAGAACCCCTCTATCCCACCAAGAATCCATTTACATGACTTGATATGTCTGGGAGGAAGGAGCTTGCAAGTAGGAACTTGGTTGACTGGTCCTTGGACGCAGAAGAAGAAGAAAGACAACGAGGTGGAGGGAATGCAGAAATGATCAAAAGATCTTACGATTTCCCTAGATTAAACAAGGAGAATTTTTCTTGTGGGGAACACAGAAACTGACCTAAAGGCCTAAAAAAGGTATCAAAGACCCCTCCACACTCTTTTGTCCCAGAGAGTAGACTTGCCCCCCACTGCTTACAGAAATATGAGTGGTTCAGGGACACTATCATATCCCGAACAGAAACTTCTCTCTCAAAACACGAGATGAAGGGCAGCCTTCATCCACACACTCAGCTAAATAAAGGACAGTCTGGGCAGACTTTAGGGGGAAATCCGCAATGGAAGAGATTCTCATTCCCTTGTTTCATTTGGGTGGAAAGGTGAGGGAAAGAGCGTTTCCTTCTCGGATGATCTGACTTTGGAGAAGGATAGCATCCTGGAAGATAGGTCCTAGGGACAACAGTTAGGGAGTCATCTAAGAGAAGCAAATGGACAGAGTTGTACATGAGCCAGAAAAGATTTGGCCAGAGTAGACTGGTACAGGTAGGTCACCTGGGCTCTGCCAAGGAACCGAGGGCTGGGCATGGTTCTCTAGTCAAGCTCTAGAAAAGCAGAGGATGCCCCAAGAAGAAGGAGGGGATTATAAAAAGATGAGATTGGTATTAGCTTCTCATTCCTTCCACCCATCCCAACTCACCCCAACCTACATGCTCTCTCAATTACACACAGTTCCAATAACGGCATAGCACTGTGCTGTTAAAACATCTGCAGGGAACCCAGGTTTCGTGAACGAGGTTGTGGTAGGTGTCTCTGTGTGTGATCAGCAAGTACGCGGGAACATGCGTCTAAAGGATGGGCATATTTTGAGTAGAGCGATACACTGGGGGACAGGAACAGGACACACTGTCCTCAAGTGGCTGGGCAAGAGTGGACATCTCTCTACAGATGGGACTGAGCAGCATGTGCAAGGGCTGGCTCTGGGGAGTTTCAGGGGGTGGGGAGACCCAGCTCCTGAAATTTGGCACTGAGGGTTTAGAACCAGCGAAATGGTGGGAGCTGTTGAAGTATGACTCACTGTATCTACAGGCTGCAGAGGCCTGGGGACGATTGGGTATTAATAGAAAACCCACAATCTTTCAGAGGCTATAACCGTTGTGATAGATTGGCTACAACACAGAAAACCTAAGGCCTGGACTCTACTCCCCAGGAGCTTAGCTATTCTTGTCTTACAACTGTCATGCCTGCTATGGTAACAGAATACCAATGACCTCAGCTCCTCAATTCTGAGACGCTATCGATTGTAAGGCACATCCTCATTTTAATGAGAGGTTCCGAGGAAGAAAAACCTACTATGTTCTATTCCACATTGATTTTAAGATGCAACCCCAATTTTAGAAAATTGAAATGCCACCAAATGTGCCTCTTAGAATTAAAGGAATACAATAGCAATGCATCAACCCCACTGAGGCATCTTCTGGAATTCAGAATGGACCCACATTTGCATGGCTCCTCTTCCCTTCCTCAGAGAAGGGGAATTAGCATCCTTTGAGTATCTGCTACAGTAGTAAAAATAATTCAGATGTCTAATGGTGTGGCCCTGTGGATTAATGTGTCAGACTGCAAAGCCTTTTGAACTGCAAGGTTGATGGTTCAAGCTCACCAGCTGCTCCTCGGAAACCCTATACAGGGTCACTATGAGTTAGAACCAACTTGACAACAACGTTTGTGGACTTCTATTGTGGTGCTGTAGGATAAAGCACTGGACTGAGAACCACAAGGTCGGCAGTTCAAACCTACCTGCTGCTCCTCGGAAACCCTGCACAGAGTTGCTGTCAGTTAGAACTGACTCAGCGGCACTTATCAACAATGTTTATGGACGGCTTAGAGTGCCTGTGAAAAAAGATGA